AGTTCCACTCTGTCCTCTAGGGGCGCTGTGGGTCAGAATGGACTCCACAGCAGTGGGTGTGGTTTGGGCTTTGCTTCTGTGAAGATTGACAGCCTTGGAAACCTTGTGGGGCAGTTCCACTCTGTCCTCTAGGGTTGCTATGAGTCAGAATTGATTTGTTGGATTTTGGGTTTTCATCTCTATGAGTAGCCACCTGTTTGTCACTTTGTTGCATGGTGGTGGTTTCCATGTTAACATGGAGCTGGAAAGTGTGCACTAGTATTTGAGATTCCGGCAGGATCGGCCAGGTGAACTGGTTGCAGTGGAGCACCCAGGTGAAGTAGACTAGGAGGAAAGGCCTGCTGATCCTCTTCTGGAAATTAGCCAATGAGATCCCTGTGAGTCACACAGAACATTGTCCCACAGGATTCTGAAGTGCCAGGGATTGCGAGGAAGCTGCAGGTCTGGGAAAACTCTTCATTCTGTGGTTGCCATGAGTTCACGCCAACTGGACAGTTAACAGCACAGTCTGTGAGAGAGGCCCAGACAGACAGAAGGGTAGCCACTGATCTCCAGTTTTGAGCAGCTCCATTAAATGATGTTCATGAGCTAACCATTTGTAAACCCTCCTGTTTCTATAGTGTGTTTTATTCTTTGGGGTATCTGGAAAAGCCACAAAGAGTGCTGTATTGAGGTAGTTTAAATTCCTGTTTTTGAATCCCAAATGTGGTATTAAGAACAACCGATAAGTACTTTAAAATAGATCTTTTCTCTGCCCCCAGTGTACACTTTTCATTTTAAATCTAGGATTCTTACGGTGTAGATATAAGAATCAAGCCCCACTTGGCCTCAAACAGAATCCCATTTCTTGGCATTTGATTTCAAGTATTGTGGAGACCTGCCCAGGCCTTTTCACTGTCCACATCCCACCCACACACTGTCCATTCACTGCCATTCCTATGCCCCAGTAGCCAGATTTCCTGCCAATTGAAGCCCTGCTGCTCTGAGCAAAGATCGCCCCAGGTGAATGAGTTTAAATCTCTCCAGTGCAGATGTGTGCCTCACGTCCATTCTTGAAATCCTCCCACTCCATCCTCCATACCCATGAATGAGGTCACTGTGGACATTACACTCCCTATACCCACCCACCCCACGCAGTCCCAGCCCACTGCCCACAAATAATCAGCTGGTCCAACCCTTTCATGTGGGGAACTGGCCTTGATTAATGTTCCTGTGTCAAATATGAGGGTTTCAAAAGTCAGCCTCTTGCACTAAGGATTTTTTTTTTAATTTTTTATTGTGATTAGGATGAAAGTTTACAGAGAAAATTGGCTTTCCATACAGCAGCTCATATACACTGTCTCATAACATTGACTGCAATGTCCCACAACGCAACAGCTCCCCTCCTACTTCCTCCCTATAGTTACTTACCTCTTCCCTGTGTCCTTCCCTCCCATGCACTCCTGCCCCCCAAGCTGCCTCCCTGTGCATTTGCAGCCCTTCTATTCTCCCACGATTGATCTCTCCAAGGACTGTATCTACCTAATGTAAATGTCCAGCTCATATGCCTGTCTCCTGTTTCGCTGGAAGCCACAGGAGTGAGTTCAATTCCAGACCTGAAAGGCAGCTAGGAACCATAGTCTCAGGAGTTCCACCAGGCCCTATCAGACCAGCAAACCTGGTCCCCCCCCCCTTTTTTTTTTTAAATGATTTTGAGTTTTGTCCACACTGTTCTCCCACTCTGTCCAGACTGTCCTACATAGATCCCACTCTGAGTGATTGATAGTGGTAGCCAGGCACCATCTAGTTCTTCTGGTCTCATAGTTGTAGAGACTGAGGATCACATGGTGTACCAGTCACTTGGACTAATTGTTTTCATGCAGTTAGTTTGGTTTTCTTCATTCTTCTTAGCTCGGGATGAGGAGAGACCCATCATTGCATCTAGATGACCACTTACAAGCTTTTAAGATCCCAGTTGCTACTCAGCAAAGTAGAATGTGGAACAATGTTTTTGTATAATATGCTAATTGAGTTTGATGTCTCCTGCGACTGTGATCCCAAGCCCACAGGTCCAACTGCTTGCTCCCTCTGAGTAGCTTCCTGCGGCCAAGAAGTGACTACAGCCTGTCCCTTGTCATCTCTACTGTATACCTGAGAATTCTTACAGGACATACAAATAAACTTGGAGAAACATTGTC